TAGGTAAAATGTAAGAAGTGATTCTTGCTTTCCAGGCTGGCATGCAGTAGCTGAACTAGAGAATGAATGCTAGTGCTCGCCTGGGATCCAAAAGTCAGAAGCCTGAGAACAGTTGCATCCTTCATTTGAAATGCGAGTTCAGTCTATGGCCATACCATCCTGAACGCTCCTGATCTTGTCTGAAATGCGAGTTCAGCTCTGGGCAAAAGTGGTCAAGTTGGTGTTTGGTATCCCCTACCCACTGCTATCTCTCTCCCTCCTTCTTCTCTCCTGTTCATCCCTGGGCTCCTGCTGCACTGAGGCGTGTATGGCTGCAGTGGCCATGAAAATGCACTACTCAGATCTCCTTCTGCACCTCGGGGCCAGTAACTGACAGACACCCCCAGCTGCTATGCTACGAATCCATTATAGCATATACTCTCATCCCTTGTGCTGCTGTCTGCTAATAGCTGAGCACAAGAAGGATACTAAGGCAGTCCCATGTCTGGGAGATCCTGGACAAGTTGGCTCTAGAACCCTCCATAAGCCTGGACGAAACTTCCTTGGCACTGTGCTGCAGTCTGAGACTCTGCCTGTCCAACCAACCCTGCTTCCTTCCCTCTCTCCTTCTCAGCGGCAGACCAGCATTGCAGTCTGATGGCCCTCCCTGCTTCCTCACAGACATTTCCTTGATAAACCTCTTGTGTGTCTAATCCCATCTTGGCCTCTGCTTCTCAGAGGACCAGGAGTGACACCTTTGTGATCCTGAGATTGCACATAAAGGACACATGCCCAGAGGGAGTTCCTCAACCCCAACAATTGTCAGCATTTTCTTACTTAAAGAGGAGGGGGAGAGTGGTTGGCCACGAGTGAAGGAAGTATCAATTGGAGCAGGAGGCACTGGATCTACCTAAGGGAGGTGTAAGAGATCGGAGGTTCCTAGACATGCCAACAGCACCCAGTCTCTTTCAAAACCCCAAGGCCAGATAGGTGATCTTTTCCTCCCCATCTCCTGGCTTCTATTTCAGACTACTTCTGATTCCTTTGCTTCATTTCCACCTTAAGGTTACTTTGAATATTCACTTTGATCTGATTTTATAAGGAAATAAATATGAGTGGAAAGACAAGGTTTCAAGTGCAATTTTCTGAATTTCTGCCCCTCTATCCCCCCAAAACCTCACTATCCATGAGGTTTATCCAGGCCAGACTGAGACACGAATATGTCAGGGGAGGAATTTGGGGCCTCTTTACACTAGTGCTCTTTATGTGTCTGCTCAACATTTAGGAGGAACAGGAAAAAGTCATAAAAGTATATGCTTTTTTTCTTTTCTTTCTTCCCTTTTTATTTTCTTTAGAGACAGAGTCTCACAATGTTGTCCAGGCTGGTCTCGAACTCCTGGACTCGAGCAATCCTCCGGCCTCAGCCTCCCGAGTTACTGGAATTATAGGCATGAGCCACCATCCCTGGCTTAAAGTATATGCTTTCTTATGATCAAAATAAATATTTACTTTCCATGTACATAATACATGTGATTTTCTGAACTAGACAATTTCTTAAGAGGCATATTAAACTATTTAAATGCAGACATCCTAATAAATTGTTCCCAGTAACGAGCACAGACAGCATCGTGAATGTTTTAGTTTCAGAATGTCAGCAGGCTAGACTGGTACAGGGAGCTCTCAGAGGGCTAGTCTCAAAGTTAGTGGTGAGGCCTTAGACATATTATGTAAATTGCACGCACTTAACACAAAACTACCCACAGAGATAGGCGGGGCTGGCTGCAGTAGGGAGTGTTTAATTGCAGCCAAACCAATTTCTGTTTCACCAGTTTTGCTAGCAGTCATGTGTAGAGACCTGAGTTAACTGGCTCCCTACTCCAGTTTTATTCTACGGACATTTTAGTTATCCCTATAGATTGGTGCTTAGGACAGCTGCCCAGTGGCTTATGGATTAATCTGGTCTGTGTCATCTGTAGCCTGGAGTATAGAGTGGACTGGGCCTGCAACAGCACGTCATGCCCATGAAACGCCCTCCAGAGAGCACAAGTGCCATCTGGCTGGGGGAAGACTAGGAGCAGGAGAGCCTAGCAGGGACGGGAGAGGGGTGCCACGCTGAGTCATGCACCTGGCATAGCAGATGAAGGACAACTGCAGCAGGAAACCACACCTGCTAGGAGGGAGGGCAAGACAGAGAGCGATGGACCAAGGAGCTCCCATCTTCCCTGCAGGGCTCTGACTTGCACATTGAGACTGCACAGGAAGGGAAACCCCTGCAGACTACAGAGGGAGGCTGGGCTCAAGAAAAAGTAGGATGTAGACTTGTGCAGAGGAGGAAAACTTCCAGGAAAGTGGCTTCTCACTAGCAATTGCTTGAGAGTGGAAGTCCATGGTTATGTTCCATTGGCCTAAATATTGTTCCTGCAAGAGACCTTACCAGTCAGTGTTCTGACTATTAATGCATAACAAACCCCACTTCATTTAAGTGACTTAAAGCAAAGTTATTAGTGCTTCTCACAGTTCTTGAGTTGACCGGGCTCTTCTGGGTGGTTCTCACGTGGGCTTCTCACATGTGGCTATAGTCAGATCGTGGCTGGGGCTGTGGTCATCTGAAGGCTTGACTGGCCTGGGTACCCAGAATGGCTGACTTGCATGGGCTGCCGTTATTGTTGGCTGCTGGTGCAGAGCAGCAGCTGAAGCTGTCACCTGGAACATTTGTATGTGGCCTCTCCATGTGGCTTGGACTTGTCACAGCCTGGCAGCCGGCTTCTAAGGGGAAGCAGCTTTTTGCAACATAGCCTCAGAAATCCCAGATTTAGGTTGGTTAAGGCAAAATCACTGAAGCAAGCTCAGGCTAAAAAAGAGGGAAATTAGACTCCTGCTCTTGACACAATCAGCAGTGTGTACATGGGGGGTGCGGGGCAGATTCGGATGGTCGCCGTCTGCAACTATCTATTAATACCACTTCCTACTTTTTGATGCCCCTCACTCCCCACCTCCCAACCTCATGCCTCAAACAAGACCCTAGCACAGTGCTGCGCCAAGCAGGTGAGAGGCAGTATGGTGTAGTCGTTAGGGACAGGAACATTTAGCGGTAGGAAGACCTGGGTTTGAGTCTGGGCTTTTCCACTTACCAACTGTGGATCTTGGGCAAGTTGGTTAACCTACCTGAGCCTCAGTTTGCTCATTTGTGAAAGTGTGGTTATGCACATATGTACACATACACACATGTTCATGGATGATTGCAGGATTTAAGTGTTGCCTGGAGAAGAGCCAGCACCCAGTAATTATTTACGCATAGAAATAACGGTGCAAAGCGACTGTGCTTTGCATTGTCCGGCAGAGCACCCCTTGCTTATCCCGACCCAGCCACTGAGGTGAGCTCTGGGGGTGCAGCTCTGCAAGGCAGCTAATGTTCAGGTCTTCCCAGCAAGGAGGTCGAGGAGTTCCAGAAACTACGGTCAGGAAGATAAAGCCAAGCTTCTGAGAGTGAGCATTGCCAAGGCGACCCTTGGAGGGCTTAGAGAAGGAAGGAGTCTGTCCCGGCGAATAAGGAGCAGGGTCTGACCCAGGCCGAGCATGCTGGCAGAGGAGGTGGGGGATGAACTCTACCTCTGGCTCAAGTCTCGTCTTTTTTCCAAGCTTCGGTTATCTCACTGCAATGGCTGGGAGCAGTTTGAAGGCTGCCTAGTTCCTGCTAGGGTTGGCCAAGCTCCACGATGCTAGAAATCCCTAACTCAGTCCACTCCTCTCCATCACCTTAGTCCCCACGCTGGCTTAGGCTGCAGGTTATTATTGCTCCCTTGATTACTAGACATGCTTTTTTACTGGTCCTCCTGCTGTTAATCTTTACTCATTAGTTCTCTGCAGAGCAGTTGGAACGATCTGTTTTGTAACACGAATCTGATCATGCCGCTCACAGGCTAAAAGCCCTTGTTGCTGGTTATTGTCCACCTGCCCCTCCAATGCTGCTCCTCATCCTTCTCCGCCCTGCTAAATCTGTGGCCTGGTTGTCGGGGGAGGGCTTGCTGATCTTGATGGATCTCTCTTTCTGGCTCTGTTTGGGTTCAGCCAATCAAAGAATCCAGCAGAGACTGGAGGGCAAAAGTCCAAAGAGTTGGGGGCCCCTGTCCCCACTGGAGCGCTGCAGTTCTGTCATTGGTGGTGGCTTTCCATAACCACAGCTCCTGCAGGGCTGTCCCTCTCCGGCTCCAACTCTCACTATTTCCTTCCTTGTTCAAGACGTGATAATGACTTCTTGATGTTTCTTTGCTTGGGTGCCTCAACATCCTTCCTTTAATTCCATCCACACCCATGAAAAGGATGCCTTCTTGAAATTATCCACAACATCTCACTTAAGTGTGGCTCGAGAAACCAGCAGTTTTTCTCTGAGGCCCTAACTGCGGCAGCCTCTGATGGTTTCCTGTAGGTTTCAGGATGAGGCCCAGACTCCTCTTCACATAGCCCCCTGCTACGGGTTGAATGCTTGTCCCCTCCGAAACTCATGTTGAAATTTAACGTCCAATGAGGCAGTATGGAGAGGTGGGGACCTTAAGGGATGATTGGGTTATGAGTGCTCTGCCCTCATGAATGGATTAATTCATTCATGGGTTAATGGATTAAAGGGTTATTGGGTTACTGGGTTATCATGGGACTTGTGGCTTTATAAGAGGAAGAGAGGCCTGATCTAGCACACTCAGCCCCTCACCATGTGATGCCCTGCACCACCCTGGGACTCTGCAGAGAGTCCCACCTGCAAGAAGGCTCTCATCAGATGCTGCCCCTCCCCACTTTGAACTTCTCAGCCTCCATAACTGTAAGAAATACATTCCTTTCTTTATAAATTACCTGCTTTCAGATATTCTGTCCTGAGCAACAGAAAATAGACTAAAACACCCCCAGAGCCCTGCTAGATCTAGACCCTGCGCATCTCTCCAGCCTCACCTGTGCCGTTTCTGTCCCTTCTCTGCATCTGGTACCCCAGCCACCCCTTGGTTCTTATAATGCATCATGCTCATTCCTACCTCCCAGCCTTCGAATGTGCCTTTATGTCTTCCTGGAAATCTCTTCCTCATTCCTCCTCTTCCCTTGCTGAGTCAACTCCACTTGTCCTTGACATCTCAGCTCAAATGCTGCTTAGGAAAATCATCATGGATCACTATATTAGGCATTTTATTAGTTTTAAAAATTATTCTTCTTATCCAATATCACAATTTATGTAACTGTTTGATCAGACTGTCTCTCCTCTGAGATTATAAGAGACAGGAGAGCAGGCACCATGTCAATTTGGGTTCATTTTTGTGCCCTCAATACCTAGCATGGTGCCCTAGTACATTGTAGATCCCCCAAAAGAATTTTTGAGTAATAAATATAATCCAACATGTAAAAACAAATAATCTTAAAATGTTTATCTTTAATAAATAAAGATATAAAAATGTATCTTCAATAATTACATATGAATATATCTTCAATAAGTAGAATCCCAAATCCCATATTTTATTGCTGGAGGTCAGAAAATGGGTTGGTGCTTCCAAGGTGTTTTTTTTTTTTTTTAAATAGAAGCAATGATTAGGGCTTGAGTCACATCAGATTTCATACGAACAATTTACCCCCCTGCACCTTCAATTCCTTTTGGATATTTTTAGAAATCCTGTATCCAACCAGAGCTCTGCAAGGAAGATGTGTGTCGCTCCCCCTCCCCCCCACCCCATGTGCGTGGCATGCAGCAGAGCAGAAAAACAATCAGAAATCCACTTGACGAAGGAGAACGCAGCAGAACCTGAGTCCCCGGGCGAAGCATCTTGGGGAAGCCAGCCCAACAGCTGCTTGCATTAAAAATGATTGCTTTGTATTTATGGCGGACAGGCAACAATAAGCAGTTTATAGCCTATAATCTAACACAAATGACTTAGGAAAATATTCTTAATAGATAGCTCAGCTGAGTGTCCCAGTGTGTTGGGAAGTCCAGCAGGGAACGCTCAGAATTAGCCTTCGTTGATCTGACAAATCCTCCCTGACTGGCTGGATGTTATACCAGTTCTCTGCACAATTTTATGTCCTGCCACCTAGGAATACTCTGTAAAAGAGTCACCAAGCTCTGAGGGCACAGATCAGACCAGATAGCCCCCAGTGTCCCCACTGACTTCTTAGAAAACAAACCCTCAGCCCTGGGCTGCATCCAGCCAGGGAAAATGAAGTGTGACCTTGTAAAATACCAGTTCCTGGCTTTTTTTCCTTCCTAATTTGGGGGATGTTATCACGGCAGAAGGAAAATATCATTTTCCACACTCCATTCTGGAAAATGGCGGCCACCTGCTGGAACGCCGAGCAGGCGAAATCGCGGGGGCCGGGCATGGCTGACAGGCTGGGCGGGAGTTCACATGCTGTGAGGGGTCAGCTGGGAGAAAGGAAGTAGGTTCTGGGGGAGTTCATGTTCTCTGTGGAATGGCCACATGAGAGAGAAGACCCAGATAATCAAGACAGCCAGAGGCCAGGTCAAGGGCAAAAACCCAGGTGGAAGGTTCTGGGTGCACTTTCTTCTTCCCAGCGCCCTGAGCTGCCCAGTGATGCTGACTGGAGCCTGGAACACCATCTCACATTGTCGGTTCCAGCATTGCACCCAGTTATGATTAACTGGGCTACATGCTCCTCAAGGTCAGTCCAGGTCTCAGGCCTCTTTGTGTCTCTTGGACCTCATTAGGACAATCTTTTCTAGTAGAAACATCTACTTTCTCACTAGAAAGTAGTAGTTCTGTCTACTAGAAAGAACACTGCCTCCCCTCCGACTAGTGATAAAGATCGCATGGGACCAACAGGGACATATTTTGGGTCAGAGGAAAAGAGAACAGTAAAATGTTAGAACCCAAATCCCTTTCTCTGGCTTTGTCTAGAGAGAGAATGAGGTTTCCAGGGACGAAAGCCCTTGCCTGTGGTTCTTCAGCACTCTTTATGTAACAGCAGAGAGATACCTCACTCTGTGGAATTGCTCTAATAGGAATTGCTCCCCTGCTTCTGTGATGCTCCCTCAAAATGAAGCCTTACAACTTGTGGTAGAAACCTAGTGCAATGGTTCTCATAGCTTGTAAGTTTTCTATGCCAAATGAAATGCTTTCGGTTTGATGGTCTTGAATCTGGACACCATTCCGGGTTTGTGAAAGGCCTGTATGAAGTCTTTCCCCAGCTCCTAGTGAGCTTTTGCTTGCATTGTGATTTTTTTTAAGACCCAGAATTTTTAGCTTTCACTCTGGTGGCATCAAGTGGCGTGGCTCCAGGAAGTCTAGGGTGACCAGTGCACCCCAAATACTGTTAGCAGTCGGGAGCACCAGAGATAGAAATCAGCAAGGAAAACCAATCTAGCTGCAAGTGCAGTGTCTGTGTGGGTTCTAAGGGAACATGGAAGTGTCACTTGCTCCTACGGCATCCAGGCCACATGAAGGGAAGAGCATGAATCTAAATCATTAGCCAGCAAACTCCACACTCCACCACCAAGTAAGGCTTTCCTAGGACTCTGAGGAAGTCATCCAAGCTAAAAACTGGCAGTAAAGACTTAAAATATACAGAGCTATCAAAGGTATACATCCAAAAATATAAAACTTCCCCATAAATTAATAAAGGAAGACCAAATCACAATTAAAAAATGGATAATTTATAGAAGAAACCTGAAAAGCCAATAATCATGAAAAACAAAAGCTTAACTTCATAGTAATCTTATAACTGAAAATTAAAACTATAATGAAATGGTATTTTATATCTATCCTATGGAAAATATTTAAAAGGGCTAACAAGACCAAGTTTTGGCTTGAATATTCAAGAGACATCATATCTTTTATCAAAATGACTATAAATTGGCACAACCATTTAGAACAGTAATTTGTCAATTCTTAGTAAAGTTAAAGATGTCCATATCCCATAATCTAGTTATTCCATAATGAAACATATAGCCTAAATACACTTCCACAAATGTATACAAAGAATATTCATGCAGTAGTATATGTAATAGTGAAGAATTGGAAACAATTTAATTTCCATTAATAGAGAAATTGAAAAAAGTTGAGCTGTTTTTACAAGGGAATACTACACATCTATTAAAATGAATGAGTTGGATCTGTACTTATCAGCATATTTATATCTTGAAAATATCTTTACAGAGGAAAAAACAAGTTGCAGAGAATAACCACAATATGTTACTATTAGTATAAATTTTACATGACTTATCAATACTACATACAATTTTTTAGGCACATATACAAATAATAAAAGCATAACTACATGGGAAGTACACAGGCTATCTTCCAAATCCTAATATCTCTGGGGGAAAAAATTAGGAAATAAGATTGGGAAGATCACAAAAGAGGATGTCCTGTGGCGTTCCAATGAGAAACCAAATTCCCACATTATGCTTAGGTGAGTATGAGTATAAATTTATACCATCTGCATGGCATAGAAATCTCCAACTGGGAAACTAGTATTTAAAAAAAAAAAAAAAAAGCAGTCCTGGACTGATGAATCCCCTGAAGCCCTTGGCAGGAACACTTTCACAGCCTGGGCTACATGTGACTGCCCAGCACACTCACACAAACATAAATCCCTGCTGATGATCAGCTCACACACAAAACTTATAAAACACACGAAAAAGTAGCCCATCACGAGAAAGAGTGAGCAGACGCCACCAACAGAAGAATTAGCTTTCCACAAACTTGATATTCTGGAACATTCCTAAGGAATACTACTACTAATAATAATAATAATGAAGGCAATCCAATTCCCATTGCAGAGAGACCCTCACAACATCAGCCCAGAGCCCTTTCAGAATCGCTACAGACCAAAGACTGCCCTGTGTGTCCCTTCTCACCCTTTCTGAATGAATGCGTTCATGGAAATTATCCTGCTGGCGTTCTACCAGTGTGTTGAGGAAAGAGGCAGGCGTGTGTACTTGCCTGGAGGGGTAGAGCTCTTGTCTGTTTGGTTCATTGGCCTCATGGCAAAGAGCGGCCATGCCTGGATCTGAGGGAGTTTGAACTGGTGAAAAGACTGGTTGGGCCTGTAGGTTGCTTCCTCTGGGGCGTAGGAGGGCTCGAGTGCATCCGATGACCGGGAGGAAAGGGGCAAAAGAAAGTTTAGTAATTAGAAAAGCAGAGACATTCGGTGCTTACCAAATATCTAGGTGCAGCCCAACACATCTGGCCATGTGCAGTTAGCCAGGATCATGTGACTCTTGGTGGGCACTGGACTATTTAGGGTCACTTCTGGACTAAAGCGTAGAAGAGAAGGCCTGGGATTGCCTGCTTCCCCTTTTCATTCCTCAGTGACAGTGGCAGCTGCACCTTGAGGTAGTTTAGCCACTAGATGGAAACAGCTGGGTCGCTGCATCACTGCTTGGAAAGCAGCTGCAGACTTTGCACGAGAGAAAAATAAACTTTCATGCGTTAAGCCACAACTCATGTTGTGTGTGACTCTTAGACACAAACACATACGCGCACACACAATGCTCATTGAAAATAAGCTCACATACAAAAATTAAAACTGCACGGGGGAGATAATCTACCATAAGGGGAACAGCAGACACAACAAACTGGGAATTAGTGGCTCAGGGGCCCCAAACAATAGAACCATGTGATAGAGACTATATTAAAAAGTACATTTTGAATATTTAAAGTACCATTTACAGAAACACACGGTACCATTTGGGAAATTAAAAAGACTTTAAAAAAGAAACTAGTAGATCTTTTAAAATGAAAAAAAAAATTGCATTTCAAATTGAAAAATCAGTGGACAATATACATATCTATGTTTACTCCTTTTATGCTGAAGATAAAACTGAAATGCAGTGGGAAATGAAGTGTATTTTTGAAAAATTAATTTTTCATCAATTGAATGCCCACATGAGAAAACAGAGTTTTGAGTTATACTCTACATTTTGCAAAAAAAAAAAAAAAAAGCCAGATGTATTATTGATCTGAATATAAAAATTGTTTCTAAAGGAAAATATGGAAGAATATCTTTAGGTGGAGATTTCTTAAGTGGAATCATCCTAAAACACTTGCAATACAAGGAAGTGGGACTACATTAAAATTAAGAATTAAAATTAAGAATTTCTATTTGTCAGAAGATACCACTGTGAGAGTGAGAAGAC